GGTCAGCACCCCAGAACGGCTTGACACGGGTAGGTCAGCACCCCAGAATGGCTCGACATGGGTTTGTCAGCACCCCAGAATGGCTTGACATGGGTAGGTCGGCACCCCAGAATGGCCGGACCGGGTAGGTCGGGCACCCCAGAATTGCCTGGCAGTATGTATGCTATGTGATTGTATGGTATGTGGTATGATGGGGGAACTCACTAAGCTTTGTGCTTACGGTTTACAATTTTGGTTCCATGTACTCGTTTTCAAAGGAAAGGAGCCCGGCTTGATCACAGCGCATCACACTATGTTTTCCGCACATGAGATCTTTGGGATTACACCCTGATATGGTTTTATGATAATATGTCTTGATTATTGACACTTTGGTTTTGACATGATATATTAATATGAATGTTTTTATACTGATGGTTTTATATAATAACTTAATTAAAACGAAATTTTTGGTCTTGAATTTTGGGATGTTACAAAATGATAACTAGGGTTAAGTGTTTCTTACTTAACCCATTAAGGACTTAATCCATTAAGTCCTTTACTCTACTAGATAAATGATATGGTAAAATTGGGCTTAATACACAATCCAACCTCAATGGCCCAAAAGTGGGTCCAATAAGTCTAAGGCCCAAATACTCACAATTAGGGTTTTCTAAACCCTAATTAGGGTTTCCAACCCCATCTTAGTCCATTAGGCCCAATTGATATGTCTTTTGATCAATTAAGGTTAACTAGACTCATTAAGGTTTTACTAGGCCCATTAATCATCTGTTTGGGCTTTTAGGTCCATTAAGCTTCATTGGGCCCCTTAGGGTTCATTAAGCCCATTAAGCCTCATTGGGCCCATTAGGGTTTCTTAGCCCCTTGTCCAAACACCACAAACGAGTCACCATACAACGAGGCACACCGCCACCCGACACGGCTGTCGGTGGCGGCAAGAGGCGGCAGCCACCACCCTAAGGTGGTGGTTCTCAATTTCTTTCCATTATTTCATTTTTACAATTACAAAGAAAATACTAAAAATAAACGCACACACACGCTACACTAAAATAAACACACACACGCAACCACCCTCGTGGTGGTCAGTGGCGGTACACGCGGAGGCAGCCACCACCTCATGGTGGTGGTGACTATGATCTTCGGTCCACACAACACTAAGGTACTCCAAGTATTCATGTAAACGCACCCGGAAGCCCAAAACCATCTGATATGGTGGCTAACAGCGGCGGCAGCACGGCGGGAACGAGTTTCCATCCGATTCCTGGGCAAGCAAATATCTTCACAGCATTATTCTTACAAGATATCGTCATACACAACACAATTCACGCCCACAGCCACCTCTACATGGTGGCTGGCGGCGACAGAAGGAGATGAAACGGTGGCAGCCACCATGGTTGGCAGCCATGGTGGTTTTTCCTCGGGTTTTCGGGCCAATCAAGCTCCCACAATCACTTCACGGGTCCAACAACACTACTAATCTATTCCAACCATGAAATCACGGCTCTCAACCACCGGCGAGGCGGCTGAGGAGGCTGGAACGAGCCAAAAACGGCGGCCATGGGGCCACCGGCGTCAACCACCGACGATCGTGGCATCAGGCCACTAATAAGAGCGAAGGAGAAGAGAGAGATATATAGAAGACGAATTACCCACAGTTTCCTGACCGCACACGACCACGCAACCACAAAAATTACTCAGTTCTCGATCTTTGGCGGCCATTTCGGTTGCGCACGACACCTCCGGCGGCGGAGCTGCGCTGGCGGCGTTCCTGAAGCAGCGGCGGCTGGAAGTGTTCCAAGGGCAGCGGCGGCCGATCTCAAGAGCAAGGCTTAGGGTTTGCCAATGAAACATGAGGGTAAGAGGCTTATCGGGTTTAAATCCCGCTTCCAAACAAATTATAACGAAATGGCAGAATCGGCCCTTCCTTCTCTTTTTTCTTAAAGCTCAGCCCATATTTTACGTTTTCAACCCCAAACCTGAAAATCCCTTACAAAATAAGTCTCATATTTTACTAAACAGCCCCTCCCTCTACAATTATTTTCAACGAAAACCCAAACTTACTCCTTAGCCCCTATTTCCATAAATCTTTTCATAATAAATCCCAATAATATAAAAAGCGGTCCCTGCCTTCGCAATTACTTACAAAATAAATTCGAAACTTACATTTTAACCCCCAAATCTCTAAAATTATAACGATTAGCTCCTCGAGACCAACACCTTGCTATATAATTATTGATTTTAGGGCTACTGTAAAATCATTTATTTATTTATTTATTAAATAAATAAACTGGGTGTTACATTTTCATGTTTTATTACGAGATTATGAAATCTCCTAAAAGGTATATTGTTAGTTGTTAAAACTTAAAGTAAAACTCTTAAACTTTTTTTGAATATCTGATTTAGGGTTTTGATAAAAATATGTGTTGATGATGTGTGTGTTTTGTTTTTACAGGAATTAGGGCATGCCACCTGGAGAAAAAAAACTTTTGATGTAGCTATATCAAAGCTTTTTACAAATTTGACTTGAATCCTTTTTTTTTACAAAATCATTCGTAAAAGCGTCTTCGGCACCGATCAAAACACAATCTTTTCCCAACAACCAAAACCCTGTATCTACCATCCCAACTTTTGATTTCATTTGTTTTTGATGTTAAAACAATTATGTATGGTCGTGTTTAGTCAACATCACATTGATGGGCTTTACCTAACCTCCAATATGTTTTTATATATGATGTGTTGCTTTCTGATGAAATAAAATGCTTTTACTTATCCATGCTTTTTAATATATATCATTATTCGCCGTTCAAAAAAATCATGCTTTCCGATTAGTATTCCGAATATCGTTAATATGCTCCCAACATAGCCTTTTTCAATTTATAGTAAAGACCACTTCAAACAAGAAAAAAAAATGTGAAAGAGCATTTACCAACATCAACAATAACAATACATACTTTTTAGATTAGAATGCCAAATGTGTCACTTCAAACAAGAGAAAACCGAAAAAAAAGATCAAACATTTACCAACATGCAATAAAAATGCGGGCCTAACAAAAAAGCCCACTTCAAAATAGAAAAAACCAAAAAAAGAACTAACATGTGGGTTCACTTACTAGTTTAAAATAAAAAATACATAACATTCAATTAAAACCTAAGAACCATAAAAATTACGTACTCCGTATTACATTTGACATCATTTTGCACACTCTTGACAACACTCCAAAACTTCATATAGCGGTAAACTTTTGGGGTTTTTGGTGGAAATTTTCAAGAGGAGTATTTTTAATCATTATCCTCTAGTACTCCAAAATCTGAATTACTTTAAGGGCTTTGTATGTAGAAAAGTAATAAAACGGAAGGCTTCCTAGCACCCCTTGACAAAACTCTACAATATATTAGAGATGATTACTTTACTCGTCTTTCATATCTCCAATCAGTTTTTCTATAAAAAGTATAATAAAAAAGACTCATTTATTAATAGGTTCATTATAAAGAAAAAAATTTGAAATTCTAAACATTTGAGAAGTTTGAATTTATAAGAAAAAAATAGAAAAATATTGAATTATTAAAATTAAATTGTTTGTTTTTCTTTTAAATTAAACAAATAATTTAGATAAATAAACAAAAGAAACTAATGAAACATTAATTTAAAAATTTTGAAATTAGTAAGAAGTATATTAATGAAATTGATATGCATTTATTATTACATTTATTGTAATTATTACATTTAAATATTATGTGGAAATAAAATAAAAAAAAACCATAAAATGCCATGTGGAAAAAAATTAATTGAAAATAACCACAAAATGACATGTAGCAAAATCAATAATAGTGTGACATGTGGCAAAAAGATTTTCATTTATTAGAGTAACTAGTTTATAACCCGAGAGAAACACGGTTATAAAATTAATTAAATTTTCATATTAAAAAATTAAAATTATTAATCAGTTATTTTAAATAAATTATTAATTAAGAGATATTTTTTAGTAATATAAAATTATAATTTTGATTTAAATAAATACTTGAAGTTATATCATATTATAATCTGTATTAATTGTATTTTATTTTTCAATTTAATGTTTTGAATTTAATATAATTAGAGTGAGAAGATTTAAATTTTGAAATTAAAAATGAAGAATCAATTATTAATTTAATATTAATTAGAATGGAAAATTTAAAATTTAAAATTTAAAATGGATAATCAATTATTAATTTAATGTAATTATAGTGGAAATTTAAAATTTGAAATGGATAATTAATAGGTTAACAAATGGCATAATTGGTGATATATAACATTAATGACAAACTCTAATTATATGACACTTGTCAATAGAAGATTAAACCTATTCTTTTATTAGGATAAAAATTTATTTTATTTATTTATTTATTATTTTTAACATTAACTTGGCAGTAACCCTCAATAAGATTATAGGCTTATAGCAGATTAAATAACTTTTAAATCTTTTGCAAATAATTGTTTCAAATAATTTTTTTTTTCATTTTCAGTTCATCTTTTTTCATTTTTGTCAAGGAGTCGCCTGGCAAATGCGTATTTTCCGATAGTTGACTCATCAAAGTAAACGTTAACGATGCCACCAAAGTCAACATCATTGATCTACTAGAACTTACAGCCAATAAGCAATAAGATTTTCATACATACAATATCTTTGAAAGAAATATCAATATCATTAAGGAACAACCTCACTTGTCATTTAAGTTTAACAGCGAATACCACATACAAAACGACAATAAGCAAATTTGAGGTTCTCCTTTAATCAAGTTATTCAAAAAATAGACAGACGAATATTCTTTAATTGTTATAAACTATATAATTTATTTGTTACTACTTCTCATTTAACAGCGAATACCACACACATGCATGCATAAAAACGATAATAAGCAAATTTAAGGCCCTCCAAGTCCAAAGTCTTCCTTTTTAAAGTCAACAAATGAGTGCCAGTATATAAACCTCACAAATCAAGCTTCAAACTCTCATAAGTCATAATCATGGCTACACATTTCATTTTGTTTTGGCTTCTTCTCCTATCTCAACTTGCACTTTCCGTTTCGGGTCAAGGTAATCCTCACCAGAATCGTTTAACATTTTCTTCATTCATTGATAATAAAAAAATCACACATGCACCACTTGAGGTTTAAAAATCTGGCTTCATATTTACCTTTTAACATTAATCTGTTTTTTCTGAATGTGATTTTAGTGTTTTGGAGCGTAAATTGTGGGGAATCGGTAATCTACACCGATGGTAACCTAATGGTTTGGATGCCAGATGCAACTTTAATCTCAAATGGGTTTGCTCGAGTGGTTCAGTCACCCAACTCGATATCTACTGTGTTAGACTCTCTTAGAGTTTTCACCACTCGAAAAAAGAACTGTTATTCTACCCCAGTTACGAAAGGTGAAAAAGTGCTAGTTCGGGCGAGTTTCAATTATGGAAACTATGACGGATTGTCAAGTCCTCCAACTTTTGATCTCCACTTTGATGGAAACTTTTGGACCACTGTTGAGACTACGAATAGCGGGCTACAAATGTACGAAGCCACTTATGTTACAAAAAGGAGACACCGTTAGTGTGTGTGTGGCTCAAACAAAGTCCGGTCAATTCCCATTTATGTCGGCTCTTGAAGTTCGCAGTGTCAACTCAGATGTTTATAACGAAGTTGATGTAGATCGGGCTTTGTTCTTGATTAACAGGTTTTCTTATGGTGCAAGTGGAATCATAAGGTACGATTTTCAAAAACTTTCTTTTTAAGTAGTTAACTTTTCAAATTAAAAAAGATAAATTTTATCTTATATATGAGAGCCATAAATCAAAATGTCCATAAAAACAATGAAATTGATGTCATATTATAATATTATATAGATTCTCACCAGTGAAAACTTCTAACTTATCGTGATCGACTTTTGACTTTTAACAACGTTTTATATTTCAGATTCCCACAAGATCCTTATGATCGAATATGGAGACCCGCTCTTGGTGGAACCAAGACAAAGACAGTCACAAACGACGCAATTCTTATTGACCCCACTGGAGCCAATGACCCCCCATCGGGAATATTTGAAAACGCAATTACAGTAAACAGCACGTCCGATAGTTTGTATTTGGGAACCATTTCCCCTTTGAATACTCCCGTGTCTATGACAATGTACTTCTCAGAAGTTAGCAATCTCGACCTTACTGGTCAACTGAGGTCATTTAGGTTTTACGAGACGACAACTTCATCAAGTAGTTCAATATCAGATCCAATCTCACCACCCTACAGGACCATGATTGTACGCTACCTTTATAATTACACAGTGGATTCCATCACAGACATTTCTTTAATTGCTACTACTAATTCTGACCTCCCACCTATCATAAACGCCATCGAGACGTTTAATATTAGTGAAGTTTTAACCGATGGGACCGATAGCAATGATGGTCGGTAGTATTTCCGAATTTTTTCTTTTTGGATTTTTTAAGATAAAGTTTATTTATTATATTTTTTATTTGGTTCGTTTAAACGAAAAACAGTTGCGGCTTTAGCTTTGTTACAAACCGCATTTGATGTGTTGGGAGAATGGAGCGGCGACCCGTGTCTTCCCGCACCGTATTCGTGGGACTGGCTAAATTGCAGTAATGAGACGCCACCTCGCATAACCTCGCTGTAAATGTTCTCAACCTTGACTGGTTTTGTATTGTAAGAAAAAAAAAAGATACCCTTCTAAAAGTGTTTATTTGTGAGGGGTAATCTTTTCACAATATCACTTACTATGTTTGTGACGGATTTATTTCCTTCACACTTGACTGAATCATATGAACAATTTAAATTTTACAGGTATCTCAACGGCTACAAGCTTTCGGGTGAACTTCCAGACATTAGTTCCATGGACGCTCTTGAGATAATGTGAGTCTAACAATCGGATTTTGCTAGTTGTTAACCAAACATTTGAAGCCGACCTATTCTAACCTGTTATATTGATTTGACTTTAAGCATTTTTAATTTAGAAAATATTTGTTTTCTCTGGTTTTCAGTGACTTGCACAATAATACATTGCATGGAGAAATTCCTAGTTTTCTTGGCACCATGACTAATCTCCAACAACTGTAAGTATATTTTATTATTTATAATTAGTACTGATCGGTAACTATATATTTTATTATTATAAATTTAAGCAGTAAGCAATGACTTATAAGAAAATTATCTAATTAACTTTTATTTATAGGAATTTGGCAAATAATGAGTTTAGTGGACCCATACCCACTTCATTATCAAATAACAACAAATTGAGATTGACGTAAGTTGGATGATTCTCTTAACTTGTCATTTGTTAATTCTCTTATTTTACATGCATGCACTGTAAATAAGCTTTCATCTTCCATTTTTCCGGATTATGAACAGTGTCACCGGAAATCCTTCGGTGTGTACATCTGGTAAGTCATGTGCAACTTCTCCGGGGACTGTCAATTCATCTCCGGGGACTGTGAGTTCATCTCCGGGGACTGTGAGTTCATCTCCGGGGAGCACCACCATATCTCGCAGCAAGAAGAAGAAGAAAAGCAGCTCGCTACCAGCAGTACTCGGCACTTCAATCCCGACATTCTTTCTTATCTGGATTGCTGTCGGTGTGATCGTCATTTTGCGTAAGAAAAAGAAAGCAGTCAAAGACAATACTGAGCCAGTTGCTACAGGTTAGCGTTGCTTATATATAGACTATAGTATTAATAGTATATATTTGGCCAATCGCAAGTGCCCCATTCATCATTTCTTCATTGATCATTGTGACAATTGTTAGATTTTGGGTCTAAGAATATCAATATAAACTTGGATAATTCAAAAATCATGATTGTAATTACTTTCCAAAATCACACTGTGATTTCGACCCTATTGCATGGGGTATCACAGAATCTGATTTGGGATAATCCAAGAACATGGGGTATCACGGAATCTGATTTGGGATAATCCAAGAACGACAGTTACAAATTCGAAACATAGAAAAATATCTTGCTATTTTGCGTTTTTGAGAGACAGATAGACTCACAGAATCAACTTTGGATATCAAAAGTGTTAACCCTTTCCATGGAACATCCATCTTCCTTTTATAGAAGGAAGATGGCGTTTAAGTTGGTTGTACACAAAATGGTACCAAAAGGATAGTTAGATATAACCAACTATCACATCATCATCATGTCATTGACTATTTTGGCGGAACCAACGCCACGGGCAGAGCTCCTTGGACCCCACAAGGGGCGTTGTCCCTTGGAACCCCGTACCCATGGGAACTACCCCTTAACCTCCGTATTTCTGAGTTTACATTTATTACTTCGAGTGTACACCCCACACCTCCAACCTTAAATAGTAAACCAAACTCAGTTTGTCTCGATAGTAAATATAATTACACTAAAATATGTTGATAACACGAAATCACCAACAACGATTTATGCTATTAAGTTTGATTGTTAGTTAATCATATTAATTCGTTTTATGGCATGCATACAGCCAGTGGAGCAAATGAGAATTCCAATTGGTTGAATAAAATCGGTGAAGAAATGATGAATGGAGTGCCACAAAATTTCGGATCATCACCTACACCTTTACTTGATGATTCTGGTAAAAGTAGCGATGTGAACGGACAAACAGGAGCTTAAAACCACAATCAGACGTAGATCTTAGTGTTTTTTTAATTATGTCTAAAATGGGACAACAATGCATGATTCTGTTTGTTTAGTGGTGAGTACGTGGGGCATATTGTGTTGTTGGATATTAGGTCGTATGTGTTTGAGCAATTGTTTCAATGGTAACATATAAGAAAGAGAAACCACTCATTATTTTCACGTTCATGAGATAACGTGCACAACTTGATACTTAACAACCATAACTTTTATTGGCTCAAAGAGTCTACATGTCCTCGTGTTCATTGTTTTTGATGTGGGAATAAGGACTATACAACAATACACCATCTGCGTAGATGCTTTTGAAGGCACATAGATATAACCATATAGGCATACATGTAGAGGCTGTACAAACAAAGATAAGAACTCTTAAAGGAACTGTATACCACTCTCATACATGTATGCATGCCTCAAGAGTGGTTAGTTTTCCAAACATAAAAAAATACCATGTAATGTCCAGGCCTACTAACCATGTCATGCCAACGATCCACCTTAAGAACCTTCGACCGGAAAATGTAGCCCACTTCATGTTGATTATATATGCTCTGAACCCTTGCAAACTTGTTGCTCAAGAAATCGACTCAATAACATTTTTTCTTGATGCAATTTTCTCCTTGTTATCCTATATGTTGTTATCCTACATGTTTATGGGCCCTTTAGGCTTTAGCCCATTAGAGTTTGGTCTTAGCTAATATTTATTCTCCTTTTTTTGTAGCCTTTATGCTTTTCATCTTGTAAATTTTCTCTCTTTCAATAATAATATCGCTCTATTATCATGGTATCAAAGTGGAGGTTTGATATGTTAGAAGGTTTGGTAGCAGTCATCTGTGACGCAGATCGATTGGTTGCTTATGTTGGTTTGTTGTTCTAGTTTGTTAGTGTTCACTTGCTATTGCTACCGATGTTCGTTTATTGTTGATGTTCGTTTTCTTATTAGTGTTCACTTGTTGTTATTGTTAGTTTGTTGTTGTTGTTCGAATTCTAAGGTTTGCTGTTCGATTTCTTGCTGCTCGATTGGTTGCTTCCGTTGGTTTGTTGTTCTTGTTCTTTGATTGCTTGTATATTGTTATGGTTATTTATCTCTTGCCAACATGACTGGAAAGGATGATACCCTTCAATCAATCAGTACTCGATTAGATGGAAAGAACTACACTTATTGGAGCTATGTTATGAAGAACTTCCTTCATGGGAAGAATATATGGGGCTATGTCACTAGGACTAAAGCCAAACCTTCAGTGTCTCAAGTGTTGGATTAGGTATCTAAGCCAATAACTAAATTGGTATATACTTGAATTAAAAGCAAAATCCTTTTGGGTTGCCCTCAAAACTAGTAATTGGCTAGAATGGCTTTTTGAGAGAGAGACTGATTTATTGGTTTATTATATGATTAATAAATAGCAATAAATAATTTGTTAATATATTATGAAACTAATATATTAATTAGAAATAATATTGTTTAATTAATAACTAATTAAAAATTAATTGAAATTAATTTTGGGATTAATTGGATTAATTAAAAGTGCAAGGACCTAAGTTGTAATTATTCAATAGTTGAACAAGAGAATGAGTCTGGAATATTATAGGGTTGGCCGAAAATTTAGAGTCTCCCTAGGGTTTCTAGATTATTCCATATAGATAATATGAATAATAAGGAAACTAAATAAAGTCAAGATTTGAAATAATATAATTTTATTTCAAATTAGGGTTATCTAGAGTTTTCTCATCAGCTGTAAATAGGGGCCTTAGCCTTATAAGTTTCGGCCACCATTCATACAAAAGGAATTGCCGAAGAATCTTCTCCCCTCTCCTCTCTCCTTAAGTGTTCTAATTGCTTGGGTTTGGGTACAAACCATCAGATGCATTAGATTTCTGGTGCTTGCTTTCTAAGAGCTTATTGAAGAATGGTTTGATTGATTATTTATAATAATAATCATAAGGTATGTAAAACCTAATCCCTTTGTAAATTTCGATTATAATAGGGTTTCTCTAGGGTTCTTGATGTTCATAGATTCTTACTATCAATAGATAAAACTTAGATCCAAATAGGGTGCATGCGAACTTAAGGGTTAAGTTTTTCCGTCACCTGTTTTAATTATAACCTATAAAAACCTATCAGTGGTATAAGAGCCATAGTTTTTTTATTTGATTGTGTATAATAGTGAATAGATCAAAAACTAGGGTTTATAGAAATTAAACCCTAATGGCCATATTTTCGACTTTGCTAGGGTTTCTTGAAACCCTAGCCTCCGTAACCCTATTTTCGAAAATGGGGGAGCCTTTTTACGGTTTTATCTTGTTTCCTTAATTTTTTTATATTAAAAGCCTTAAAATTTGAATAATTAAAACCTGATAAACCCAACCTTATTTTCAAAAATTAGGAGGGGTTGGATTAAGATTAATTTTGAATTATTTTATTAATTGTTTAATTTAAATAATTATTTAATCCCTAGATGATTTAATTAATTTAATTAATTGGTTAATTAAAAGACAAAGATAAATCATAATTGGTGTAATATTAATTAATTAAAAAGGTTTAATTTAGATAATTAATATTTAAACCTTGTATTTTAAAAAGTTTTAAAATACACCTTATATATACTATTACAAGTTTAATATATTATATGTATAAGACAAGTCAATCAAATCGCTAGTACACCTAATTCACAAAGTCATACTATAAGGGGGGTATAAGGAAGCGACCTATAAAATGACCGTCATGAGGTGTCTACTCTCACCCACCGCTCCCTTGCATGGTGGAGGGTCGTTAGCCGAACTGATTTGATAGGACATAATCTCATTAAAAGTATAATGACATAAAAGTACTAGAACTTTCTTTAAAAATCTCACTCTAGTTATTTTAGGAAAAATATGAAAAGTATGTTAATCCATGAAAACGCACATCATACTTTAATATGTCCAGGGCCAGTCCATGGGGAGGGCGAACTGGGCCACGACCCAGGGCAACAATGGGTTGAGGGTCATCAGATTTTCTACGTCTGCAAAGTGTTCATCTTTTATTTTGGCCAAGTTTAATGAGCTAGCAAGCAAAATAAGTCCATTCAGATGTTGTAAGGGCGCTAAACTAAAAATCCGAAATCAGATGAGCGGCTAAAAGATACGAGCACGTCACACGCTTCTATGTATAGGTAAACAAAATGGTCGCAACTCGCAACACACCTAGATCAAGGAGTCTTTCTCTGATTGGCTTTGATTTAAAATGTTAGTATGTATAGGTAAACAAAATGGTCGCAACTCGCAACACACCACGATCACATCTCATCGGAATCTTGAGTGCGGGTATGTCCATGTTATGAAAATTATCTTATATTTATAGGTTCAATCCAATTCTGTATATTAAATTGTTTCTCAATGATGGTAATTATACAAAGGAAAATCGAAGTAGCCGGTTATCAAGTATCAATACAGTTAGAAGAAAAAAAATCTTAATTTATGAGTTCTCAAATCTGGTTTGATAATGTGTATCATTGATAATATGTTTGATTTTTCATTAGAAATCATTTAATCCTTCATCGGCCATCTCAAGTGCAAAAAGTTAATCCAATTCTCAGTCCCCTGATTCGGTACAGGTATGAGGTTGTCTTGAATTTACGTTGAAACTTGAAGATTTGAATCATTTGAAGATTTGAGAAATGATGATAGTACATGATAGAATGGATTTTTACTTTGAGGGTTTTAATCTTGGTTTCATTTGTAATTAGATAGAAAGATTTGTTTAGCACTATAGACAATTTTGGTTTCACTTATAATTGATAAAAGAAGACTTTTGGTTATTATTTTAGGCTCCTGGGGCATTATGTTTGAGTTTAAAGTGAAATAATCAAACTTGGAATTACAACCAAAATGAAATTATGTTTGATTTAGTAAGGGACAGTAGTACATCATACTAATATGCCCGAATTAGTGAATTAAATTGACTCTTTCGGACTTCTAGTTAGAATTTTGTTTGACTTTCAATTTTATATATATATATATATATATATATATATATATATATATATATATATATATATATATATATATATATATACATTTTATCTGTCTAATATAATTTTGAAATCACATCATGTGTTTTTAGAAATTTTTACAGATGTCATATTATTTGAATCTTTGTCTACTTAACAGGATTATTAATTACATGAGCACCAAGTTTTCCTTTTATCTTGATCAACTCTCTTGGAAGTTATCTATTATCCAAACCTGGTTGGATGTGAAAAACTAGTGACTCATTTATTTTAAATTATCTTGTAGATTTAATTCGTTGTTTCTATTGTAAAGGCACATTGGTTGGATGTGAAACTATTGTAGATTTAACGATTCATATATATATCTCTTTGTGTTGTGTGTGTTGTAAGCTTTTCTTATTGGTATTTTAGTCCCTTCTCGTCATGGATTTATTGTTTGAATATATGTATTTTAAATATATTTCTAATTGTTTTGCTTTAGTAATTAGTATCATCATATCATACTTAAACATAGGGCATCTTTAACCTTTATCGTCTGGGGCATGGAAAATCTTTGGACCGGCTCTATAAATTGGTGTGGAGGTTGATGGTTTCATGGTCTCTACTTTTACCTTTGATTCCATATAATTTCCTTGATCTTTGTATGACTTTAAATGCTCCCTTCCCTAACAAGAAACAAGCTTTTTTTAGATGCTTACTTGTTTACAATGCTTTCTGGTTGATTTGGAAGGCGAGGAACAAACAAATTTTTATGAAAATTAGAACTATTCTTTTGAAGACGGTGGGTGATATTCAATTTATTGCTTTTATTTGGATCAATATTAGATCGAAGTACAAGCTTCTAGATTGTTCGCCATGGTCGTTTTCTCCTTTATTAAATTGTTTCTTGTTTATTGTTTGTTCTAACGTCTTGTTAGTTTATATTTGTTATAAAATTCCTCCGTTCATTAAATAATAAAAAAAAAAAGTTAAGCTTCTCCTCTAACCAACATGTTGATAAAAAAGTAGACAGAGGAATATTCTTATATTGTTATATAAGTGGGAGGTCTTACAAGGTACCCACTGTTTTATTTCTTTATTTGCTACTACATATTAGATAACCAGTTATAATATTAAATATTTTGGTCATCAAATGGAATATTGTTGGAAGTTTCGTCTAAGAAAGTCATTTTGCTATATATTTTGTCAAAAAAATTCAGTTACACAACTAACGTTTGATAATATTCAAACGTTTTGCTTGAGTTACCTATCACACAAGGGCGATTCTACCTTATACCTATATATATTTATAAACACCACACCACAGTCACCACTTGGTTAGTTGGTTATATTATGGACACCTTATATACTTTTAGATGGACACTTCAAGCAACGCACAAGAGAACATGCAATAACAAGTTTTTTAGACAACTTAAACTAACAAAATTTGTCAGATAGTTTATCATTATTATTTAATTATTCACAAAAGTCATATTCACGTTTTAGGCTCAAATTAGTATTATTTTGGATTTGACAAAAAATAACCCTGCAAACGAAAGTCTTCCCGTAAAAGTCAACAAATGAGATGGATAAAGCTCACAAATTAAGCTTCAAACACTCGTAACAATGGATGGGCATTTCATTTTGGTTTCAGTTCTGCTCTCGCCTCTACTTACATTTTTGGTTTCTGGTCAAGGTAAATATAGCTTTTTCTTGATTTTGTGAGTCCATGTTTGACATTTAATTTGTTCATTGACTACGTTTTACATTTATATGTTATTTTGATGTTAAATTTTACTATCGTTGAATATAATGCTAGTGTTTTGGAGCGTAAATTGTGGGGCATCAGACTTCTACGTTGATGGTAACGCAATATCTTGGATGCCGGACACAACTCTAGTCTCAAATGGGGTTGCTCAAGTGGTTCAATCAAGTAACTCGATATCTACGGTGCTAGACACCCTCAGGGTTTTCACCAGTCGTAAAAAGAACTGTTATTCTAACCCGGTTACAAGAGGGGAAAAGTTGCTAGTCAGAGCAAGTTTTAATTATGGAAACTACGACCGATTATCAAGTCCTCCAACATTTGATCTCCACTTTGATGGCAACTTTTGGACAACTGTCAAGACTACGAATAGCGGGCTACAAATGTACGAAGCCACTTATGTTGCAAAAGGAGACACCGTTAGCGTGTGTGTGGCTCAAACAAAGTCCGGTCAATTCCCTTTTATGTCAGCTCTTGAAGTTCGTAGTGTCGACTCAAACGTTTATAAAGTAGTGGATGAGAGTCGAGCTTTGTTCCTGCTTAGCAGGTTTTCTTATGGTGCAAGTGGAATCTTAAGGTACGCTTTCCATAACTTTCTCAAAACTTCTCATACTAAATTCTAAAAGAAAAGGTACCTATGTGTCCCATGTGAAACATGAGAGAGTCATCTCACAATATATTCATACTCGGATTTACACATATTCTTAAAGCATTCACAAAGAAAAGTTTGATGCATTAAAAACAACCATAAAGATATGTCAACCTGGCATACAATAAATTTGGAGTTGAATGTGCATGATACGGTTAATTGGAAAAAAAAGACTAACGCTTGAACTTTATAGAGTTGAATATACTTTAGAAATTAAATGGCAATGTTGGTATGGAAAGTATAGAATGTTGATGTGACTTTTGATTTCTAACAATGCAATGTTAATATTCTAGATTCCCCCAAGATCGTTATGACCGAATATGGATACCCGCCCTTGCTGGAACCAAGAAGCTCACAAACAATGCAATTTTTATAGACCCAACAGGAACCAATAATCCCCCATCGGGAATATTTGAAAACGCAATCACGGTAGATAGCACAGCCGATATATTACTTTTGGGCACAGTTTCCCCATCGAAAATTCCAGTCTATATAACAACTTACTTCTCAGAAGTTACCAACCTCGACATTACCGGTGAAAAGAGGTCATTTCAATTTTACGAGACAACGGCTTTAAAAAGTGTTTCAATGTCGGATCCAGTTTTACCACCTTATGGGAGCATGACTGTACGCTACCTTTATAATTATACCGTCTATTCCATCACCAACATTTCTTTAATGTCTACTATGAATTCTGATCTCCCCCCTCTCATAAACGCTATTGAGGCTTTCAATGTTAGTGAAGTTTTAACCGATGGAACCCATAGCAATGATGGTCGGTAGTATTTTTCACATGTTTTTTTTCCATAATTAGTTAAGATATATTGTTTTATATTTTGTTGTTTGCCTTTTTAAATGAAAAACAGTCGGGGGTTTAGCTTTGTTACAAAAAGCATTCAGCGTGTTGGGAGAATGGAGCGGTGACCCGTGCCTTCCCGCACCGTATTCATGGGATTGGCTCAATTGTAGTAACAGCACACCACCTCGCGTAACGTCATTGTAAATCATCTCTCAATTTGGTATTTTATTACAAACAGCGAGAGAAATAGTAAAGATTGAGTTGATAATCCACTCACATTCAATATTTTGTGATTACTTATATTTCCAACACGGAAAGGAAGCTTGATTGAATTGATTAAAAAGTTTAAATTTTGCAGGTTTCTTGATGGCTTCGAGCTTTCGGGTTCCCTTCCGGACCTTAGATATATGGATGCTCTCGAGATAATGTGAGTCTAACAAGTAACAATCAAAATTTGTTCGTTTAATAAAAGATCGTTCTCAAATTAACCTATTAGATTGGTTCATATCTAGTGAAAAGTTCACTCTTTAAAAAACCGTTTATAGATTATAATCATTATATATATCTTATCCCTCGAAAAATTAAGTTTAAATGATAAACACAAAAGAGTTAGAAACTTTGAGAACCGAATATCACATTTGAATAATCATATTTTTAACACCTGTTTTTTTTTTATTTTAAAAGACATTTCAAGATTGATAATTTTTTTTAAACTAAATATTTATATAGATATATTTTAAGACAAAACAAATTTATGTTACAATGTAAAATTTACAATTGGATGGAAGACTATTGGTCATTCGACGTGTAAGAGTTGTAACATAATTTTTTTTGTCTTAAAATATATGGATAGTTTCTCACACGGTAGATGATAAAGTTATATATGGTTATTTTTTAGATAAAACAAGTTTCAAAAACTATTAAAAAAAAAAAAAAAAACGAAATCAATTGTCTACAAATGACCTGTTTTCATAATTATAACTTTTTTATGGCTTTCATTTGAACAATTACTCAACAACACGCATGCATTAATTAATGAAATCTATAATAAGATGCAAATTTTACTATAACTCATTTTAATTTGTTTCTTTTGGTTGTAGTGATTTGCACAATAATAGCTTGACTGGAACAATTCCTGGTTTCCTTGGCACCATGCCTAATCTCCAACAATTGTAATTATTCTTTTTAAACTAAAAGCTGGTTCAAAATACATTTCTTGCAATTTGCTCAATATGTGTTTATAAACCTATACATTTCTTTGATTTGGTCTATAAGAATTGATTTACAACAGAATCAAATACTAATGGCTCATGATCAGTTGAACAAAAGTCTATAAATTTTTATATTTGATCAAGTTTGTTTTTTTCTTTTAACATGTCCTAATCTAATCATAACTACTTATACAAATGTTTCAAACAAGACTTAAACCGTCAACCTTTTGAAGAAAAGCAAAGATATAATTTTTCCAACTTTAGATACGCTAAGCTTTAAATCTTTATATTAGAGTCTTTTATTAAAAAAAAAAAAAAAAAAAAAAAAAAACAAGATCTCCATAATTACTTCACAAGACCAAAAAAAATCGCCCTACCCTATCCGATTTTGATGTTATGATGTATGACTCTTATTTGTAGGAATTTGGCAGATAATCAGTTTAGTGGACCCATACCCACTTCATTATCGAATAACAACAAATTGAAGTTGACGTAAGTTGGCTCTATGTACTTTTCATATTAATTATCTGCTTCTAGCTTTTACGAGACATTCCAATAACAACGTTTTATGTAATGTAATTTGTTTTCCATATTGTTTTGGTCAATTATGAATAGTGTTACCGGAAATCCTTCTGTGTGTGCATCTGGTGAGTCATGCTCGAGTTCTCCGGGGAGCACCACCAACGTATCTGGCAGCAAGAAAAAGAAAAACAGCAAGCTTCCGGTAATACTCGGCACCACAATCCCGGCGTTCTTTCTCATCTGGGTTGCCGTTGGTATTGTTATCATTATTAAGAAGAAAAACAAGCTAGCAACCAATGCCAATCTGCCATCTGCTACAGGTTAGTTAGGTCTTGCTTATATTGATCATATATAGTATACATCTGGCTACACGTGTCTCGTTGCTAAATTTGAATGATAATCATAATAATTTGTTGTTGGACGTATAGTCAGTGGAGCAAATGAGAATTCCGGTGGTGGAGCAAACGGGGATTCCACCATAGTGCATAATACCGGTGAAGAAATAATAAATGAGAACGATATTGTAGTAGTGCAATAGACTTTTGGATCAGCTTCACCATTACTTGATAATTCTGGCCAAACTACTCGATATGGACAAATTAACATGACTACTGAACCACGATGAACCGTAGATCTTAATGTACCTTTTTTTTTTCATTCTTTGTAAAATGTGACAAAAGCATTATTCTGTTTTCTTTTGGTGGTGAGAAACTTAGGGTATATTATGTTGTTGGGATAATAAGGTCATCGGTGTTTGAGCGATTGTTTCAATGTTTATACGAGAAAGATGAACCATTCATTCTTTTTACCTTGATGAGATGGCCTGAAGTTATATCAAAAGTAACTAGTAAGATACTAGAACAAAAATATAAATATATTACATAGAAAAGAAAGAAAAAAAAAAGGGATTAATATAATAGAGGGGAACTGGGGAAGGTGAGGGAAAAGGGGAATTAAATGGGCTATTTAATAACACACAACTTATGGGCTACAGGAGATTGGGCTAATAAATATAAATGGGCTAACTAATAACACACAACATATGGGCCACAATAAGAATAAGAATTAAGAATACACAAATAAATAAGAGGCATCTAACGGTTACATCGTCATTTCTACCTTGCCTTTTTGCATCTATTTTTAACCCAGGGATATGACAAGACCCGAATGTCATCAATAATCTTAGGAGGCGACCAAACATTTCCAATTCCCATGTTCCGAGAGTTCCAATAAGTTAGATTAACGTCTCGAGCTTCTTTTGCTTTGCCTTGTTGAAGTCGAAAGCAACAAATCTCAAAAACATGTAGGAAAGTGTTTAAACCTACAGACTCACCCATTGGCAAGATTGGCAAGTCAGCTACAAACCTTTTTTTGTACGGAAATTTTTTAATTAACAACTAGTAAGCTAGAGAAGAAATTGAAATAGCCATCAATAGCTTTTGTAACCATCCACTTCGATTAATTTGCCGAGACGTGGGTTTCTTTCCCAAAATTATCCCATTCGATTCACTTTTATATTAGCACTTCTATTCAATAACTAAAAGTAAGATTGAGTCTCATTTTTATAAAAAAATGATATTTTTTCTTGGTTTTTGTAGCAAAAATATCCAAGCATTTGGATAACTCCAAATAACCCATAGAGTAGTAATAACAACCACATCCAAACACTTTCTTTCTTTGAGCCTCTTCAAGTCCCACATGATCCATCAAACGGATCCATTCTATAACATTGACAATGTTAGGCATATCATGATATCAATGTTCACCAATATCCAGATTGTTGCCAAACGGAGGATGCTACACAACAATCGATAAATAAGTGTTCATTACTCTTTATATGGAAATTACTTATAGGACATAAAGTCGAATTTAAGTCAATTTCTCTATTATATGAGTTTATTATGGTTGCTAATCTATCCAACGCAAGACGTTAAACCAAAATATTAGTTTTAATAGGCACCAACTTGTTTCATCTAGTAGCATTCTCTCTCGTAACCTAAGTATCATTGTCTATAAACTTTCCAACCGAGTTAACCCATAATCCACCTTTTGTTTCAAGATCTCACTTCCATCTATATTTTGTCATTTAAAACAACAAAATCTAATAAGCCACAATCCATTATGTTTCCTCCGTTCCCCTTCATGGTTGTCCATGCCAACCCGAACCCAATATGCATTGGCCACATGTACCATACATTTTTTGTCCGTTTCCAATGCAAATAATGTTGGACATTAGAAGGTTAATATTACAAGTTGGCAATGTTGCTTTTGTCCCACATTGGTCGGTTGAATAACATAGAGTGAAATTATAAGACTTTTTCTTTTGTTTAGCCTTCAAAGGATTTAGTGAAGATTGAGGGATGGTTCAAGCCGATACACATGCCTAGTTGGGTCAAGGACGTAAGACATGATGTTCGTGAAATGGCGTGATTCTGGTGCAGTTTGTACGCTGAAGTTTCTAGTAACTTCCAAAAAAATGTTGTTTAAATAGAAACCAGCTGCATGTATGACATGTGGCGAGTTGTATAAGTGTGCCACCGTCATTGACCCATGCTTTTTGGAGTCTCCATGGGTTTCTACAAATATAAATATGGCTCTATATGCTTTTTGGAGTCTCCATGGGTTTCTACCGATATACATATGGCTTTCCTAAAGCTGTATTTCTCACCCTAAACCGATATACATATGGCTTTCCTAAAGCTGTATTTCTCACCCTAAAATTCAAGATATGTATTATCTTCTCTCTGCGAACATCAAGCGTCATTCTTTCCCATTTCTAGGTATTCAGTTTGCATTTATCGGTTCTTCCATAGTTTATGGAAAGAACAATAATATGCATTAAATAATGAGGTTTTACTCTTAAACTTATAGCCCTAGAGCCACGTAAAAACATTTATGGACAAGAAAGTCATTTTGTGACGTTTACTCTATATCGTATTTTAATTTGTTCGGCAACATGACAACCTTCATCTACCTTTCTTACAATTGATTCGATATTAGTTCACAATACTAATCATCAGATTATTTAGTATCTTGTCTGAAATACAAAAAATAATCTAGGAAAGTTATTGCAAAAGACTTCACCAAACCAAGGATGTTCCAAATTTCTGATAAACGACCATTTCCCACTTTTTCTTTGGATATTACAAACGATATGAAGTTCATTGCAAGATACAATAATGTTACTTCCACATACCTTTGTTTTTATTTGAATAAAAATTGTCCCAAATCACCTTCATATTCATATAAAGACCTTATTATGAAATCCACGAGAGAATCTGGTTGAGAAAGATATATCCACCCACATTCATCAACTAATTAACGATTCAAAGCAAAAAAGGCATCCGAGTTAAGCTACTTGCCTTTTTTATTTTCCAAAACTTTTTCCATTTTTACCTACATGTTATTTTTTCCCCATAAAAGTCGAGATCGTAGAGAAGTTTTTGTTTCTATGACAAGGTAAAGACCACCAAAGTTGTTAAATACGAGGAGGATTTGTCAAGTTTGGTAATCCTCCATAGAGAAACCAAACTACTCAAATTTAATAGAACATGTGTTTATGTAAGTAAATTGTCCAACAAATATAAGATTTTTTATTACGTTTGGGGTAATTAGGATATTTTGAAGATGAAATGGTATGTAAGGGTTTGGTATGGGATAGTTTCCTGATCGTATGTATGACAGGCATCTAGGATCCATTACCAATTAAAACTAAATGGATCCGGAAAAGACGTTTATTTTAAATAGTAGCAAAGATACCTCCGAGTGTAGGTGTGAAGTTTTCTTGGTATCCATTTACCACCTGTTGTCACTTGAATCTTGTAAGGCCAACAAGATTAATATTATGGCAGAGAAATAGCTCTATTTGGTATGAAGTGCTAACCATGTCTAAGCCAGGGAAGGGACCACGAAGTAGGCTTAAGGGTTGAATCTGGATCTGCTATTTTGGATTTGGCAGGCCTGATCCAAACTAGCTTAAAGATGTCGACAATGGGCAAGATGGAGCAGCCCATTGTGGGGGAGCCAAACCAGTCCATATTGTTGGAGCCCAAGTCAAGTTGTTGCTTGAAGACTAGCTAGGCTAGCACTGATGTTGTTGATCTTTTGTTGGCGGAAGTTTCCTTAGTGAGGTCACCGATCATTCCAGCGACCAATATCATGATTTGACAGTGGTTATGTGAGTTCACTTATGTTAAACTAGGCGAATATCCGCGTGTTGCGTAGGATACAACAATATATTTGAAATCTTTACAAATATATGTTTTTTTAAATATATCAATGAAGTTGTTATCTCTTATATAATAAATCTTATAATAAATTAGTATAAACATTGTTTGTTTTGAATTATATGATAATGTAGACATCTTTTAAAATTCTATAATCCCAATTGTTTCAATGGTCTCTACCTACGAGTTACTCATGAACAAAATTAAATATAATATATGGTTTAATGATATTTATAGTTGTTATGAATTAATTTTAAAAGTTTATTTGCTTGAGATTTTAATTTTATCATTGTAATTATTTAAACATCAAAAATTGTTTTTGATTTTAAAGGTAACAATATAAATTTCGTATATAATGTTACTTTTAACTTTTGTTGTTGTAAGTTATTTAAAATAACGTATTTGAAAACTCTTAATTATTTTAATTTGGTTTCAGAAATTGAACTTTTTTAAAATTTATTTGATAAATATTGTTAGTTTATTTGATTGTAATTATTTAAAACAACAAATATTGTTTTTGTTTTTAAAGACAACATTATAATTTTTATATAATATTACTTATAACTATTCTTATTGTAAGTTATTTTTTAAGCTACTTATTTGAAAATTCTTAATGATTATAAAAATAGTTTCAATGTTTTTTTTTTGTTAAATTAGCATTACAATTTAGGTTTAACACTATAATTTGTAACTTTTAACTATTTATAAAATAGTCTCTCGATTTTTTTCAAGTTTTAATGAAATTTTGATTCAAGTTAACCATTTAACATTATATTGAAATTAATAATTTAACCATTTTACATAGAATCATAAAGTATACAAAGTTGTGATTTTAAAATGACAATTGCTTACATACGACAACATATCTAAACTAATAAGTTAACTATAATATATTAAAAAGTTAAAGTCATAATTTTATAAATAGAAGTGAAACATGATATTTTAATATTATAGTTTAGTTAATTTATGAATTTAGTTTTTGCATTAAGTTAACATTATTAACCAATTATAATAATTATTATAAAGAAATTGAAAAGTCACGGAGTTTCAAATGCATATATATATATATATATATATATATATATATATATAGTCAAGATCAAATAAGAAGGAAATTTTTGGTAGGAAGGTAAGAAGTTTTTTTCTACATATTTTTTTCGCGAACAAACAAAATGAATCATTAGATGATTCATTTGTAAGATGATTCACAAGAAAAAAATTCTCAAATAAACATCTCGATGATTCATTTATACAATGATTTTGTTATTATTCACTAAAATTATCATAAAAGTGAATTTTTTCTTAATTTACTTAAAAATGAATTATAAAGATGTTTTTTTGGGAATTTTTTCTTGTGAATCATCTTACAAATGAATCATCTAGTGATTTATTTTTTTTATTTGTCAAAAAAATATGTAGAAAAGAAACTTCTTACCTTTCTACCAAAAAAAATTTCTTACCGGATCTATATCTTTTATATATATATATATATATATATATATATATATATATATATATATATATATATATGATTTAGATTTTGTTAAAAAATCGATTATTTTCGGTTTAAAAACTGTTACTATTCAGTTTTTTTTTAGAAAAACCTAGAAAACACCAATTTAAATTAAAAAAAATTATATTAAATTGTCGGTTCGATTTAGTTGAACTAGGTATAAAAAAACCGGTTCGGTAATATTGGGCCGGTTATAAAAAAAAACGGCTAAAATTGTGGACCTCTAACTTACACTAACATCAGTTCATGTATTTGTTAGGAAGATATACATTCATAATTTGTTATCAATCTAGTTGTGTTTATGATCACTTTGTTTTATATTTTTATGTTCAAGTTGGGCCTGGTAAAAGAAAATGGTTAAAGTCCGCCAAGAAGGCATACCAATGGAAGCAAAAATCGAGTATTTGACGTCTCCAATCTCCCTTTCTATTGCGCCCCAAAACTAAAATATGTTTGGAGTCTTTTTGACGGTATTTCGAGCCTTTTTGAAGGCATAGTTACACATTCTAAAACGATTAAATTACCAGTCATGCCTAATTGAATCAAAAAGATATTGCTCAAAATGTATTTTTTTTTAGATTGCATACATGTTCTTGAACTCGGTATTCATAGGATCCGTATCTGAAAGTACAGAAATCGACCATGTCCTAGACCTCGACCCCGACCTACTTTCGGTACCTGACATTGATTTCCTTCTCATATTTTTCATATTTGAAGTTTCGATTCGATGCATAATCACCCAATAACACATCAACCCCAAAGTCGTAACCATTATACACGTTCCTATAATGGTCACACAAATCGCTAGCCATTTCTCATGCTTCCCGACCACAATAAACGCAAGGGCCAAAAACGCCACCGATACAAGCACACAAGCCAACCACATTAGCTTGTTGATAACAGCCATCATTTGCTTCTTCGCTTTGCTTTCAATAACCACCACCGAGGTTTGAACCACAACAACTGCTAATGAGATAAATAGAGCCACAGAGTCGAAAACAAAGAAGATTATAAACGCAGGTTGTGGGGCAATATGCGCCTCACCGAGCAAAAAACCCTCGGGTATATTGCTTGGATCATCAACATATTGTCCGGGGACTGTAAAGATGGCGGCGAATGCAACCGTGGCGATTAACACGGCCACCACGGTGGTGGAGTTTATCGCGTTGTTAAGGCCCTCGGCGTGCATTTTATTGAGGTGTTTCGCGATGCCTTGGACCCTTCGCCGAGTTTGGAGAGTGTGTTCGAGTTGATCGTGGACCTCATGTTTTATGTCGCTTACAGTTTGTTTTAGCTCTTGGGCCGGAGTTGTTGAGGGTTTTAGGACACGGGCACTCGGGACACCGTGTTCTTCTAAGATGCATCCTATGTCGGGATGACCCATTTTATGGGCTGTGTCAAATGCAGTCTCGTTCGACCTATTCACGACTCTTGTATTGATTTCATTACGAGCTAGTAGCATCTTAACAATCTGCATGAACACAACGATTATACATAAGAACAACAATTTTTTACCAATTGACATCTATAAATGCACTACGCCGTGTGCACTTAATGATGTATTGAATGTGCATTCCATACGTCAGATGCACATAACATATATATGATGTGTGTAATGTGCATTTCATATGTCACATCCACATAACATACATATGACGTATGGAATGTGCATTCAGACGCAAGATGCAGCTCAGTGAGTTGCATCTAACATTCCTTGTTGCATTATTGTACCTGAACCCGGCCTTTACGGGTTGCAATATGCAAAGCTGTATTCCCCTTTGCATCAACCATATTTATCAACGACTGATCCGCCTTAATCAACTCCTCGACCACCTCATGATTTTGGCCTTTTGCCGCCATGTGAAGGGCGGTTTGTCCCTTCTTATCATTCCTTGAAGATATCCCAGGTACCTTCTCCAAAAGCGCCTTCACCACTAGAACATGCCCGTTTCTTGAAGCCGAATGTAAAGCCGTTTTCCCATTACTTCTTGCTATCGATGCCAAACTACTCTCTATCTCCAATAGATAGTTCACCACCTCAATGTTGCCTTGCATTGCCGCCGTGTGCAAGGCTGTGGTGTTTGATATATCAACCGTCATTGATAATTCTGGGTGGGCCTCCATTAAAACCGTTAAAGTCTCTGTAAATTTAAAGAATGGAAATAGTTAAAAAGACAAAAGTTTTGGATGATGTAGAATTTACTAGAAAACATAGAGATTTGCATACCTAAATCTCCTTGTTTAGCAGCAATATGAAGAGCATCGAATCCATTATTGGCTTTAATGCTGGCTGTTGCCATATCATATTGATCGATCAAGAGCCTAACCAAATCAACATAACTGTATTCTGCCGCCACATACAGAGCCGTTTCACCGGCGTGATTCTGCTTTGAAAGCAATGAAATCAATTCTTCTTCACCATAACAATCACCTAAAATCTCCATTACTGCGTTGATGTTCCCTGCCCTTGCAGCTGTATGCAAAGGGGTATCATCTCGTTTCCCCGTCACCTGTTTAGACATCTTTTTCCGGGAAGCGGTGGTTGGGGTGGTGGTGGCCGGTGGCAACCATGTTTCTGGTGGTGCCTTCATCGGAGAAATTGTATAAAGCCTGATAATGATCCCCTTTTTGGTGCGAGGGAAGCTTTTGTAATCCTAATAATGAATAACGGAAATTCTTTTCTTCTTCCCTTCAAAAACCCAGATCAGAAATAGCATTTTCAAACCTAGAAAATCTTTCTTCATGTAAAAATCAACACCCCTGAAGAACTAATTCAATTATTTAATCACCGAATGCAAACATTCTTTTAAATAAACTTCCCAAACTCCATTATTGTTGGTTTGCAATCTCCTGGACCTCAAATTTATGCCCTGGTCGAACAACAATCATTATAAATCATCATTAGAAAAATAAAAACAAACGAAGAGAATGCCTATTTTCTAAGCGTCATTTTAACAAACGGAGGGCATTTGAAACGACGATAATAGATCACCATGAAAACTGCAAAACAGGTAGGCATTTCCATGAAAATGAAACGGGTTTTTGAAAATTAGAGGAAAAACAGAGGAAGAGGGAAAACAGTTACCTGGGTATGAAGAAAGGTGGACCTTTTGCGCTCCTCCATTTGGAACCAAATAGTCCATGAATTGAAAATGGCTTTTTGAGATCACAACAATCTGTAAATGGCATTAAATGACAAAAGAACGAGAACTATCTCCCTTTGTGCATGTATCTTTTTGTGTTTGGACAATGGAGGTGGAGAGAAAAAGAAAAAAAGGAAATGGTAGAGAGAGAAAGGGACGTCAATCGCACATGTATGCAACAAAGGTTTTGTAGACTTGTATATTTCATAAAATTAGAATCCGAATCACACCCAAAAGTCCTTTTCTTTTTTATTCAAAAGATAAAGAGAACAAGAATATATATATATATATATATATATATATATATATATATATATATATATATATATATATATATATATATATATATATATATATATAGGAGTAGATCAAATGAGAACACCTAAAAGGTTGAGAACGCGAGAACAGATCTGGATCGTTTAAATATTTAAATCTAAAGTTATTATTAAAGGGGCGATTTATGAAAAATTCTAAAACTGTTGGCATTAAAGTGTAACATTTAAATGGTCAGAAGGGCATAATAGGAATTGCAACTTTACCTATTTCCTATAATTTCTCACTCTCTCACCTATTTCTTTTCATCTTCTCGTATCTATATTTCCCCCTCTCTAGGGTTTCTAATGCCGCCTCCTTCTTAGAAACCTCTTTCTCACATTTCTCAATCGTCGGCTCAACTCGACCTATACACGCCTCCGAAGACCGGTTCCCTATTCGTTACTTCGTCAGTGATCCCATTGATTTCTACTCACCGGCGCAACCTCGCCTCCACTCCGGCGCAACAAGGCAGCGACAACTCAGGTAACCGGTTCCCTGTTCGCTTCTTCGTCAATGATTTCATTGATTTCTACTTACCGGCGCAACATCGCCTCCACTCCGGCGCAGCAAGGCAGTGACGACTCAGGTAAGTTTCGATTCCTTGCCATTGTTGGGTGGTCATAAGTGATTGCAAAGGAATAGAGAAAGCAACACCCATCTCTTTTGTTTGAACATTATTTGCTTTGTGGATTACGACCATTTGACAACACCGAACCAAACCAACCCTCTTTTTTTTTCAACCCTTTTTCTCAGTATCGCATCTTTACTTGGTTGTGTTATCAACCTTGTGAAAATCTTGGTTGCAAGTGGAGAACCTGATCATGAATTATAAATATTTGATTGTTGGTTGTATTTTGTTATGGAAATTTAAAGTTATTAATACGATCAATTGGATTCACTATTGATTGTATATATTCCATTACTGTTTGCAACATGATTCATTTCTGAATAGAGTTTTTTTATTGATTGTATATCTTCCATTACCGCTTGTAACATGATTCATTTCAGAATAGAGTTTTTTTTTGTGATTTTTTTAATATAAATTTGTTTTTTTAAATTCAGGAAAATAGTGGGGCAAGTTCATCAAATGTGTTTTGGATAGTGAAGGACTTTTAGGAAACATTCAAGATTATTTAGAAGACTCTCAAGTGAATGTCAAAATTGATAAATCATATTTTATAAATAGGTTGTTTGAGTTTAATCATCAATGAATAGAACTATATTATAACCGCAGACGTTTATACCTTAATGATTGATGTTTTGAACATGTTTAATCTAAGAGCTTGATATTTTGAATAAGGATAACTCTAAGTTGGGAAATCGACAGCATGATCAAGGGCACCTCTCTTTGTTTTTATTTGTATGGTAGCAACAAGAAAATTTGAAGAAAAATAACGACGTATGAAGTCATTTATGATTAGTGGTATATTTATCAATGAATATAACCACCGGAAATGTAGAAATTTAGAAGTCTTTTGTATTTTGTTAAAATAAAGTTGTATTTGTTTATGATTATGATTAGAGGTTTATTCTTTTGTAATGAAGTGAGTTTGTTTAGATTTGTATTCATTTATAATTATGATTAGTGGTTTATTCTTTTCGAATGAAATAATAAATTCTTAAACATTCTTTGTTTTCAATTCATGGAAAAAAACGAGTCTAGTCATGGCATCTTCACTTATGAATATGACAATACTTGATAAAACTAAAGCAAGTCGTTTATGTATTCAAGATAAATTAGTTTGATATTTTTTCATTTATGAACATGAATTAGGTAAAACAAGATAAAATATTTTGATTTTTAAATTTAGACAGAAAATTGATAAAATGTTTTTTATCTTTAATTAATAATATAAAAAATGAATAATTCTCGTTTTTAGTAACAGTATTTTGAATCCCTAAAATTTAGTAACATACCATTTTAATTTATTTTTTATAATTTAATTAAAATACACATTTACCCATATACTCTTGTATATTGATTGGTCCAGAACTGTTCTCGCGTTCTCAATCCTGGTTATATATATCCTCTCCCTATATATATATATATATATATATATATATATATATATATATATATATATATATATATATATATATATATATATATATATATATATATATATATACAGGGGCGGAGCTTCAACATTTGATTCGGGGGGGGGGGGGGGGGGCAAATATATAATATGTATAAAAATTGGTAAGCAGGGGGGCCAATGTCAAAATTTTATATTTTTGGGTATAAAATGAAACTATAAGGGCTATTTAGAACCAAAAAATCAGGGGGGGGGGGCACAGCCCCTCTCTGGCCCTAATAAAGCTCCGCCTTGAGATTAATAAAAAATTAGAGATTGTGAGATTAAATATCAGTCAATGGAACTTAACGTCAACTAACGTCAACTGTTAAATGATTAAGGGGTATAACAGTAAGCTTCAAATTAATGTTCAGAAAACGGACACCTTCCTTCTCTAAAAATCATCATATCGTTAAATCATCGATTTTCAGTATCAGTCACGTAATCATATCATCCAATCTTCAACAAATCATTCAATATAATAAAAAAGATCCTATTTTTACTGAATCTGTTATCAAATTATTCGCAATCTTCAAATCGAAAAAAACGATCGAAACAGAGCATCAGTTCATATCCTCATAAATACGAGATACAAACCTCAAATCAAAGAAACAAGCACCTCGCAATCATAAACAAAGCATTTGAAAATCGAATCAAAATCAATTTTCATAAATGATGTCGAATCCAAAAGAAATTGACAAGTCGATCGCCACTGATACTATTATAGCTGAAATCAATTCATCTCGTAACGACGAACAAATCGATTCAATTTCTTTCACTTCTGAAGAACTTCAAAATACGATTCGTATTGAAGGTACAACTAATTCGTTTTAATACTACATATTACATGACAGTTTCTACACTTCATTCTAATTCTTTTATTATACAATATAAATTATGAATAATCATATATGATTATACAATACAATATGTGATTTAATCATATAAGGATGAATAATCATATATGACTGTTCATATCTATGATTAATCATATGTATTTATAGTTTGTAATTATGATTTATCATATATGTTTTCAAATTGAAATCTATATTAATATTACATTTGGATGAATAATCATATATGATTATAATTCATAAAATAGGATTAATCATATATTACAAACTACAAATATATATATGATTAATCATACATGATTAAACAATATCAAGTATGATTATTTATAAATTGATACGTATAATAATTTATGATTACACAGTATATTATATGATCAATCATATAATATAATGTACAAATAAATATGATTTAACATCTAATAATATATTAATATCTAAAATCATATATGATTTTTTATACTAAAATATAAATACATATCGTTAATCACATATGATTATTACAACATAAAATTATATAATAACATATTTTGTCATTCCCTTCTTTTATCAGGTGAAAGTTCCAATTCAACAAATGAATCATATTGCAGTAACATAATTGAAGAATCTAAATATAAACCAGATGTCCCTACAGAATTTGTACCAGTTGTAAACAGTGTTTTCAAATCACTAAATTTGGCAGTAAAAATGTATACGGATTATGCAGAAATGGCAGGTTTTCATACAAGACTGAGTATCCAATCAAAATACAATTGTAACATCCCATTTTTCAAGTCCAAAAATTGCAATTTTAATATAACTATTTAGAAAACATTTATAAGAAAACATCATCAAGTCATATCATTTCGAAAAACCATAATCTCATGTCTGGAATCGTATCATAAAATTTGTAACAATGTCAGAGTACAATCCCAAGAAATCTCATAGTGCGGAAATCCAATGCGTGTGTATGATGTGCAGCTACCGCGCCGGCTCTTTCCCCTTCGCTGAAGAGGTACCTGAAACAAACTGAAAACTGTAAGCACGAAGCTTAGTGAGTTCCCCCATCCTACCACACACCATACACTCATATAGCATACATACTGTCGGTAAATTTTGGGGTGCCCGACCTACCCGGTACAGCCATTCTGGGGTGCCGACCTACCCGTGTCAAGCCATTTTAGGGTGCTGACCTACCCACGTCAAACCATTCTAGGGTGCTGACCTATCCATGTCAAGCCATTCTGGGGTGCTGACCTACCCATGTCAAGCCATTCTGGGGTGCTGACCTACCCATCGGTCCTAACAACCGAACCTCGGGGACTATTCCACCCCCTACTGCTACCATCACATATATCATAACATAAACATACTATCAGACATATCTGGGGTGTCCGAACTACCCTTCGGTCCTAACAACCGATCTTGGGGACTATTTCCCTCCTACCACCACTATCACATATAACATATCATGCCAACATGTAAACATATCATCACATACTGTCAGACATATCTGGGGTGCCTGACCTACCCTTCGGTCCTAACAACCGAACTCTACTACTATCACCTATAACATATCATGCCAGCATATAACATATCAGGTAGTAGCAAACCTAGATGATATCACAAAGACAGTCATCTAACATACAACTCCTACTGGTGGGCCGGCATTGTGGCCGTAGACTCACCGCTACTGGAAGGTAACTCACCTCGTAAGGCTGACTGCTGGAAAGCTGATCTGCAGATGTCTGACTGCTGCTCCGGCGGTCCTCCGGCTATAATTCCCATAAAACACTTAGTCAGACACTGATAACTGCCCTTAAGGTAAAATGACTATTTTACCCCTGACCAAGTCAAAATCAAGTTCAAAGTCAACTTCCAGTTGACCTGACTCGCCGAGTTGGGCCTCCAACTCGTCGAGTCCCTACCCTTTATCTGTCCTTCTTCACACATCTACTCGTCGAGTTTAGCAATGACTCGACGAGTTCTCCTTCTAAAGCAACCTCGAATGAACCTTCATCCGACTCGCCGAGTTGTATGAACAACTCGTCGAGTTCATCCTCGTCCTACAAACAAGTCCTGTCCTTGACTCGCCGAGTTGTATGAACAACTCGTCGAGTTCATCATAAAAGTTGGGAGATTGCCTTGGACTCGCCGAGTCTGCTCATGCACTCGTCGAGCCCTATGAACTCCAGGTCTATGGCTAAGTCCAATACGTTGGGCCACTCCCTTGGACCCTCTAAAACCCTTCTAACGCTCAACTGGGTTCCTTTGAACCCTAACAGAAAAGAGAAGTCAAGCCTCGGACTCGCCGAGTCCCAAGAACAACTCGTCGAGTCGAGGTTGTCCAAATCTCATTTCTCGATTTTCTGATGTACAACACTTGTCCAAATGATAGATCTAGGCTCCTAAGATCGATCTAGCACGTAAAGTTACGAACTTTACGTGCATGCATGGGACTATGAGCTAAAAAGACCCTAAAAGTAGCTCTTAAGTTGCATGGGGCTTTCCATGGGTGCAAGGGCAGTCCCTTTCTGCCTTCTAACTCCTTAAGGAGCCTGGATCTGAAGCCTCAACCCCCAACCATGCTTGCAATCATGGTTGGCCACCAAGAATGGCTTATAAAAGCCCTAAATCTCCCCAAAAAGGGATCTAATGCAAGAAGGAGCAAGGTGTCGACTTTATACCTTCCAAGGGCTGTAGATGATGCACAAGCTTGACTCCTCTGACCAACCTCTTGTTTCCTCAAGCTTTTCCTTCCTTCTTGCCACCACAAACCACTAAGAATCACCAAA